GTCCAGATCTGCCAGGAGAGGTGCCTATCTATTCTGATATATGCACTACCTCATTAAATGTTGTTGCCTTTCTCATCATTGTTCCACCTAATGCCTGACAATCTAGAACCTCTATTTCACTTTGTTACCCTTTGGAATGAGCTTCTTTCACTGCCCAATATTTCCCTGTTTACCAAGGTTGTAGCTTGTATCATTGTGTTGATGTTTTTCTCATAACACTTAGGCCTACTTTTTGTATTAGTATATTTCTGTTTGCTCTTAATAAGACAGGAATTTAATGAGTGTATATTCTTCAGTCTTCAGGTTTTCTACTAACTTTATGCATGGTATAGAATAGCTGACAACTTCCCATTTGGGGAAAGCAGATTAAGTTATTCAATATTCAGCTGATAGCAAGAGCTAAAAGTAACCCTGGGGTGAACAAATGTATCCTCCATAATAAAAAAGTGTATCACTAAGGTAAAATGATTAAAGAAAAATTTAATTCATCACTCCTATCATTAAAATAAATATAATGACACATTGGAAGACTCCGTTGCATAATTATTTTTTTTGACAGGCAGAGTTAGACAGTGAGAGAGAGAGAGACAGAGAGAAAGGTCTTCCTTTTTCCATTGGTTCACCCCCCAAGCGGCCGCAATGGTCAGCACGTTGTGGCCAGTATGCTGCACCAATCCGAAGCCAGGAGCCAGGTGCTTCACCCTGGTCTCCCACGTGGTTGCAGAGCCCAAGGACATGGTCCATCCCCCACTGCACTCCTGGGCCACAGCAGAGAGCTGGACTGGAAGAAGAGCAACCGGGACAGAATCCGGCGCCCCAACCGGGACTAGAACCTGGGGTGCTGGCACTGCAGGCAGAGGATTAGCCTAGTGAGCAGTGGCACCAGCCCATAGCATAATTTTGGTACCACATTTATTTAGTGTCCAACAAGTAATTGCTCCTTGTGAACAGAACACCAATTTTGGTTCAGGTGTGTATGGGAAAGCAATATTTGTTTAGAACACAGAAAAAAATTTTAATAGATATGTAATGATACTATGTGCAACATAATATGACAAAATAGGAAAGTATCTTTATGCTAAAAAGGAAACACTGTCATCTTGATACTGTAAAAATTTTCATATGATGGAGCAAAAGTGCTATGGCACTTTATTATTTAATTCAACACTGAAAACTAAGAATCAATGTACTCCAACTGAAAAATGATTGGATAAATGTATTTCTCCCTGCATAGTGAACAAGTAACAGTTTACTTGACATTCAAATTATGGATGAAATGTGGGAAATTAGAAAAGTCCAGATTTCCAAGGAAAGGGGAACAAAGAAATTCATAGAGAGAAAACAGAACATCTGTTCTCTTCTTCACAATAACATAAACACATTTTAAATTGCAAAAATTCATATATTTGCCTAAGAAATATGGCAATCTATAGTGAAGGTTCCATTGTAAAATGTGAAAAGACATAGATAAATTCAGTACCCAGGAAATCAATAAATGAAGATGAAGTGAACATTTTGAATTATCTGACCACTTGAAGCCCTGAATTGGATGCATTTATTTCACTGAAAATCTAAATTTGGGGCTGGCACTGTGGCATAGCGGGTAAAGCCAATGCCTGCAGTGCTGGCATCCCAAAAGATTGCTGGTTCAAGTCCCAGTTGCTCCACTTCTGATCCAGCTCTCTGCTATGGCCTGGCAAAGCAGTGGAAGAAGGTCCAAGTCCTTGGGCCCCTGCACCTGCATGGGAGATCTGGAAGAAGCTCCTGACTACTGGCTTCTGATAGGTGTAGCTCTGGCTGTTGTGGCTAATAGAGGAGTGGACCAGTGGATTGAAGACCTCTCTCTCTCTCTCTCTCTCTCTCTCTCTCCCTTTCTGTCCTTCATTCTCTGTGTAACTCTTTCAAATTAATAAATAGATCTTAAAAAAAAGAAAATCTAACTTAAGAATCCTAATTTGACAAGAGTTGATATATTCGAGTATAAAATCTTCAAAGAGCCTACAAAAAAGAACATAATTAGCTAGTTTTAGAAAATATTTCCTTTTTAAAAAATTAATATAAAATAAATAAATGAATTATGAAATGGATATTTAAGAAATATTCATTAAAAAGCAAGCCATTAAGAAATGTCATGAAGAAGTCATATGATAGAAAATACTACCTATACTGACTATACTTTTATAAGTTATATTAGTCTAAAATTTTAACACTCAACATATTTATATCTAAGTATTTCATATATTTGGATAATAGAAAGTTTTGTTTCTTCAGTATCTTCATTACTTTCTAAAACTTTTCACTTGTAAGTCAATTATTTTGGGGTGTGTGTTTTTAATTGCTTTCAGCTTTAGATACTTGTCTAAAACATGAATAAATAAAAACTAAAAGTTTTTACTGAAATAAACATATATATTCACTGCATTTTTCTCAGAACCATTGGAAATATCCTGTGCACTCAGAAGAGCTGAAGGTGCGTACCAAATATATATTTTTACAAGAATGCTCAGAAGAATCTGTTCATAACATGAAAGTTTGCAGACAACCCAAATCATCATCTTTGAATGATTGAATACATTGAATGTGGAAAAGCCATAAGATTGAATCTTATACAGCTATAAAAATAATGAAGGGTACCTGCTATAATTGGGTGAATCAAAAATGTAATGCCATGGGAAAGAAGCTAGATCTAAGAGGTCTCATATTATCTCACTCCATTGCCAGCAACTGTCCAGAGTAGGTAAACACATAGCAACTAAAGGAGATGAATGGTTGCATAAACAACATTCATGGAAACTTGCAAGTGGCTGCTTAATGCAGAAAGGCTTTGATTACAGGGTGATGCAAAAGGCTCAATCTACAGACATGATTATTGCTCAAACTTTTGAACATACTTTATAGAAAATCAATGTAGAATTTGAATGTGAAAGTACTGTAATACCACATCCTTGTCAAATACTACAGTGGTTCTTACTGGGTATGTGAATTTCACCTCAATAATAGCATCATTGTCTCCTGGAATAAGAACTCTAAGCAAAGGCCAAAATGATAGCAGTCCAATGGTAGATGAGACAGTTATAGAATCACTCCTATGTAATCATGAAAAACACCTCCAGATGTGGTAAAAATAAAAATGCCATTTCCAAATAGCTAGAAAATACTTAGTAACTAAGATGTTTGTGAACAATACAGTGTTCAAAGAGAAGAATGCTCATGGACTAGTTGACTCTTGTATTTGGAAACAAATTCCACTTTATAACCACAAAATGACAAATTCTCCATGACATTTAGAGAAACAACATAAAGCAGTTATAACTGAGACATGTTTTCAAGTATGAACATAAAAAAACTTAATACTTTATCCCTTTTAGTGTTTTTTGTTCAACTTAATGCTATAGGTTGAACTCTTTAATTAACACAAAATTATTCTTAGGTGTTTAAATTTAACTGAAAAGTGATCCCTGTTAAATATAAGAGTGGGAATAAGAGAGGCAGGAGATGTACAACTGGGACATGCTCAAGCTGACTTGCCCCAAATGGTAGAGTTAGAAACGTGCCAGGGAATTCCAATTCAATCCCATCAAGGTGGCATGTACCAATGCCATCTCACTAGTCCAAGTGGTCAGTTTCCGTTCACAATGGATCAAATTGAAAGGATTAAGAGTCAAAGGGATCACATAAACAAGACTAGTGTCTGCTAATACTAACTGATATCATCAAAAAGGGAGAGAACGATCCAACATGGGAACCAGGATACACAGCAGACTCATAGAATGGCAGATGTCCTAAACAGCACTCTGGCCTCAGAATCAGCCCTTAAGACATTTGGTTCTGGCTGAAGAGACCATGAGAGTATTTTAGGCATGAAAGCCAAGACACTCTGGCAAAAAAAAAAGACCTAAATGAAAGATCTCTGTGAATGAGATCCCAGTGGAAAGAATGGGCCATCAAAGAAGGAGGTACCTTTCTCTGAATGGAGGAGAGAACTTCCGCTTTGACTATGATCTTGTCTAAATAAGATTGAATTGGTGAACTCAAAAGGCTTCCATATCCTTGGCAGCTCATGACAAGTGCCTAGGGTGAATACTGACGCCATAAATAAGAGTGTGAATTGTTAAGACAACAATAAGTCACTGTGCACTTACTCCTCATGTAGAATCTCTGTCCTTAATGTGTTGTACACTGTGAATTAATGTTATAACTAGTACTCAAACTGTACTTTATACTTTGTGTTTCTGTGTGGGTGCAAACTGTTGCAATCTTTACTTATTATATACTAAATTGATCTTCTGTATATAAAGATAACTGAAAATGCATCTTGATGTGAATGGAATGGGAGAGGTGCTGGGAATTGGAGGGTTGCGGATGTGAGGGAAGTTATGGGGGGAAAAGCCACTGTAATCCAAAAGCTGTACTTTGGAAATTTCTATTAATTAAAGAAAAGTTAAAACAACAAATAAGAACATATATGGTATCTAAGTAATAAACAAAGATGAAATTAATTACTCTGCATATTTTCAGGGATAGCCCTATCATATGAAATGCAATTGCTATTTATACATTGATGCTCAGCTTTGTTTCAGTTTTAAACAGTGATTCCTTTTACTTTATATGAAAATATTTCTAGCCTGCTTTGCATTTTTGAGAGGGAGAGAGAGAAGCAGAGAGAAAGAGAGAGATGGTTGAGAGTCCAACCTTTCACTACTTCACGTCTCATTTCCCATAGTGGTTTATCTTGGATTGAGTCCAGAAGCCAGGAGCCAGGGAAAAAATTGACAGGGACACAAAGTGTTTAATATCCTAGCAATCTGATATCAGGGGTCAGAACCAAATCACAAACCTAGCTACTGTCATGTGGGACAAGATTAATTAATTGCTAGGCCAAATACCTAAACAAAAATGTTTTTTTAGTTTTGCTTATTTTACAATGTTGGAAATCTACTACCAATTTGGTTTTTGTTTACAAAATTTGAAAATGTAGAGAAACCATTGAGAAAAATATTTTAGGGTCTCCTACAACTGCATTGGTTCCTTAAAGCTTTCAAAGAATTTTTATCAGGTTTTATGAGAATAACGTAGCACTTGGGGGCAAAGATGCAGCCCAGGAGCCCGGCACTGGAGGCCAAAATGGAGAAGACTTCCACGGCCACCATGACCTTCCCCTTGGTGCTGTGGTAGACAGGCAGGAAGGTCACCCAGACACTGCAGAACACCAGCATGCTGAACGTCAGAAACTTGGCTTCATTGAATGTGTCAGGCAGATTCCTGGCTAGGAAAGCCACAATGAAGCTGGCCAGGGCCAAGGAACCCAGGTAGCCCAGGACACAGTAGAAGGCAGTGACTGAGCCCTTATTGCACACCAGGATGATGTAGTCGTGCTCAGAATGTTTATCTACCTCAATAAAGGGAGGAGAGGTTCCCAACCAGATGCCACAGAGAACCAGTTGGATCATGGAGCAGATGGGAATGATGAAGTTAGAAGTGCCTGATACCAATAACCGCCTTATCGTTCTTCCAGGTTTCAGAGCTTTGAAGGCCAGAATCACAGTGATGGTCTTGGCCAGCACAGCGGAAACAGCCACTGTGAACACAAGACCAAATGTTATTTGCTGGAGGAGGCAAGTGGCTGTGTTGGGACGGCCAAGGAAGAGTAAGGAGCAGAGGAAGCACAGGAGGAGGGCGATGAGCAGGATGTAGCTGAGGGTCCTGTTATTGGCCTTGACGATGGGAGTGTCTCGGTGCTTCACAAAGACCCAGAGGACGGCAGCTGTTAGGACAGAGAAACACAGAGCCATGCAGGCCAGGGCCATCCCCAGGAATTCCTCAAAGGCTAAGAAGGTCACCAGCTTGGGGAGGCAGCGGTTTCTCTCCATGTTTGGGTACTCGTGATCTGCACATGGGATGCACTGCTCTGCATCTGTGGGGAAAAGGAAGACTCTGTGTTTCCATTTAACAATTTGCTCCTTTTTCCCTGTTAAGGAAAAAGCTCACCTTTGCAATTTCATGGTGAATTCAGCCTGGGGTGATGTATACCAAGAAACACTAAAGTATTTCTGTGCACCTAACCAAGGCAGAATGCTCATCTGCAGGTGGAGGAAACTCATTCAAACTAGCTCCTTAGCACATGGGGCTCTGTGTTCTCATCCTATCTGTCAGAGATTTTTTTCAGTGTTTAATTTCTAAACAATGAGGAATTTTCTATATTTCATATGGGCTTGGATTCTTCCCAGCCCTCCTCTCTACAGTCCTCAGTGTCATTTCTGGAGAAATCCTTTGTTCACATGGGTTAGAATATTTATCTGGGATCATCAGGTTTAAGGATTTTCTTCCTTATCCTCAAATGGAAATGACCTATATAAATGATCTTTCATTCCTGGGACCTCCATTCCTAATTTCCTACATGGATTCATCTTGTCCATGTTTCCATATAAATGTTGTGATACTGAGGTTGAATAGATGGGAACTGTAGCTGATTGTCATTCTGTGGTTCTATGGAAATAAGTGGTATTTTCATCATGTTACTCAAAGACAACTAGGCATTCTTCTTAACTTCAAATTATGGCTTGTTCACCATTATAGCTCATGTGAACAGCATGTTGGACACCACATTGTCTCACTTGAAATAATGCACTTCTACTGCTACAGCATGAAAGAAGTCATTAAGAACAGGCCAGTTGGAAAATATTTCTTTCTTTCAATCAAATTTCAATTGTACAAACCAAAATAGGGTTGGTGTTGTCGCATGGTAGGTAAAGCCACCAACTGCAATGCCAGATCCCTTATGGACATTGTTTTGTGTTTAAGTTGATGAATTTCCAATCCAGCTCCCTGCTAATCACCTAGAACGAGCAGCAGAAAATTCCACAAGCACTTGTGACACCAACACCCATGTGGGAGACCCAAAAGGAAGCTCCTGGCTCCCAGTACCTGCTGGCCCATCCCAGGCCATTGTTCCATCTGAGGAGTGAACAATTAGATTCTCTCTCTCTCTCTCTCTCTCTCTCTCTCTCTCATTCACTGATTCTCTGATTTTCAAATAAAATAATCTTTTTTAAAAAGAAAGAAAATGGTGGGCTGGCACTGTGGCTCACTAGGCTAACCCTCCACCTAACGGCGCTGGCACACCGGGTTCTAGTCCCGGTCAGGGCGCCGGATTCTGTCCCGGTTGCCCCTCTTCCAGGCCAGCTCTCTGCTATGGCCCGGGAGTGCAGTGGAGGATGGCCCAGGTGCTTGGGCCCTGCACCCCATGGGAGACCAGGAGAAGTACCTGGCTCCTGCCATCGGATCAGCGCGGTGCATAGGCCGCTGCATGCCAGCCTCAGCGGCCATTGGAGGGTGAACCAACGGCAAAGGAAGACCTTTCTCTCTGTCTCTCTCTCACTGTCCACTCTGCCTGTAAAAAAAGAAAGAAAGAAAGAAAGAAAGAAAGAAAGAAAGAAAGAAAGAAAGAAAGAAAGAAAATGGTGTTAGTTGAGCTATACTTGCAGTAAGAGTCCTACTCTGTTTTTATCCTTGGTACTCATGCAAGAGTACAAGCTTCAGGGAGTGGAGTTGTGATGTAGTGGTTAAAGCCACTGCCTGCAATGATGGCATCTGAACAGGTGCCTGCTCATGTCTTGACTGCTGCACTTCCAAACGATCTCCATGCCAATGTGCCTAGGAAACCAGCAGAGGAAGGCCCAAATGCTTGGGCCTCTGCAAGACCTGGAAGAAGCTCCTGGTTTCTGACTTTGGCCTGGCCCAGTCTAGGCCATTGGAGCTATCTGGAGAGTGAATCTACCTGATGGAAGATCCTCACTGTATCCTCTCTCCCTCTCTATTATGCTCTCCCCCTCTCTTCAACTCTGACTTTCAAACAAATAAATAAATTATTTTGTAAAAAAAATAGAATATAAATATTTGCAAAAATTTAGAGGAATTTTCTCCTCCAATTCTTTTCAATGTGTTCCCTTTACTTTTCATAGAATCTGTAGGTACATCTGGCACCTATCTTGGAGATACACCAGGAATATATAGGCAAGTGTATATTGTACAATGGGTCAGTGCATGATACTTTAGTTTTCTTTCTTTCACTAAATTACTGCATGTTGAATATTTTCACTGAAACTTGAAGTCATTTTTCTGTTTTCTTCATACTGGAAACTCTGTATAGAATGTTTGAAGATACTGAAATCAAAATATCTCTAGAGCTAAGATGATGTGAATTGAAACATTATTTTGGAAGAATTCAAATTATTATAAACATATTTATTATACATTGAACAGTGGAACTATTTACCAATGAGTCTTAGTACACTTTTACATTTCTCAAACATTTGGCTTTGATATATAATTTGATATTTGTGTCTATATTTCAGCTTATTTTTTCTCTTCTTCTTGTATATCCATAAAGGACAAGTGGTGTCATTCATTCTGTGTACTGAACAGCATGCACCATGTCAAAGATGTAGCACAGAAAGTAATACAATATTCCCATCACAATTCATGTGGATTAGCTCCCTGTTTTTCAGTTGTCTATGAAAAAGTTTTGAATTCAAGACTTCTAGATAACCATACAGAGCCTTAACAAATACAAATATTATATTTCTTGTTTAGATTTCAGATTGAGAGAGTCTCATTCAGTGCTGGATCGAAAAGAAGGATACCAGATCAAATCAGTGTCACAGTTGAGCTTGAGATGATTAGCACCTCCAGAAAACAGCTTACACATAATGAGATGGCAATAGTGAGCATACAACAAGGGTATGGAAATAGTGAGTGAAAACTATTATCTCATCGCAAATATTCTTGGTTTCCTTTTTATCAAGAAATAGTTAAGATGGTAGAGTTCTCAAGGTAAGTTATATGTATTCTACCTGTATGATTGGAAATGTCTCTCTCTGGACAAACAACGCAAGTATAGCAGCAGACATGTTTTCCTTCCTGTGGCATTTTCCTGAATCCTGGACCACACCTTTGGCTACACAAAGACTGAGGAGTCTGATGGGGAAAGAGAAGTGATGGTCATTGCTTTGCATGACATTAGGCACTGTGATAGGATGTCTCTAATTGCCTTTTCACCCCAAGGTCATCACTATGTCTTCCTCAGGCTGTATCTTATTGATTTTATTTAGACATCCAATTGGAGTTTCTAAGATGCTCATTCCAGGTTTGTCAACTGCCTACCAAATATTATGAGGCCACCTGATGGGTTTAATTTTGCTCATCACTGGATCTATGCTTCTGGGCATTTGTCTCTTTATTGAATTGCTTCCTCTGAAATATTTTCAGTTTAGCTTTTTATGTGGTAATTCTTCTAGAATGTGTATGTCTGATACTATTTTACACGCCTCTTTCTTTGATTGAGTAGAAGATTTTACATGCCAGAAAAATATTCAAAAAGCCTGATGACTAGATACACTTCTGATAGTAACTACTAAGAAAAAGACAAGCCTGCAAAGAAAAGGTGAACAAATGTAATAATCCATTGATTGTGCATCTATCTACTTCTGGACTTCTATACCCAGGGAGGGCATCAATTCCTGATACTGCCAATGCATTTGTTATATAACACACAATAGTTATAAATATTACCCGCAAAACTGTCTGGGGTATTTCAACAGCACAATGATGATAAAATTTTTGATCACAGCTGTGAGGTGGTATTCAGAAAAAAAAAAAAAACTGAACTGATTAGCACCCACAATGACAAAGGAAAATCAGAAATTTTTCTACAAATGGTCAATTCATAATTTACTGTGTTCGTACTGCATCAAAACATAATAATGACTCACTAAATGATGAAAATATCACTATCTTTATAAATATACATGTAATACATGAAGTTTTTCACATTATATAAATAAAAAGTTGAAATAAAATTTTAGAATTTGTAGTGACATACATTTAGTAATTTTATGTCTAAGTATTGATCTCTATCTCTATTTCTTAACATTCTTTCTAGTCACTCAACCTAGGAATGCATTAACATGCCCAGAGAAAAACAACAATATCTAATCCAAACATGCACTTCTAATACACACTGGTTCATATATGTGTAAGGAACACCATATCTTTTGAAGCCAATATGTGAATTGAGAATTGAATGCTTATGTAAATTCTCACACATAATATCCTCCCATACTTTCATCAAGCCCTCTGTATGTATCCAATATTCCCATGGATCCACACCTCCTTGAATGCAACTGGCCATTCTATCATCTCTTCATTGAGGACCAAGGATTCTCCACGTGCACACTCAGGGGAAAACTCCCCGATTTTAATCAGCAAACGAAATCCAGCAGGAAAATTCACAATGTTGTGGATATCGTAGTGTGGCATATGGTGTCTCGTTTCATGGAAGGAAACATCCTCCCCAGCACTGTTGGTAAATTGGATTTTCCTCAGAAGTGGATGAAGCTGGAGGGGAGGCACAATTGGAAAGAGAGAGAACATTCAGATTAGAGGTGGAGGTGCACACGACTTAGAAATCCTTCTTTTGCCTCCTGTGTATCCTCAGGGTTTCTATTGGGCGGAGGCTGTTTTTTCTGACTGATCAAAATATCATGGGTTTGGGGCTGGCGCCATGGCTCACTTGGTTAATCATCCGCCTGCAGTGTCAGCATCCAATATAGGCACTGGGTTCTAGTGCCAGTTGCTCCTCTTCCAGTCCAGCTCTCTTCTGTGGCCCGGGAAAGCAGTGGAGGAGGCCCAAGTGCTTGGGCTTCTGCATCCTCATGGGAGACCAGGAAGAATCACCTGGCTCTTGGCTTTGGATCTATGCAGTGCCGGCCATAGCGGCCATTTGGAGAGTGAACCAATGGAAGGAAGAGCTTTCTCTCTGTCTGTCTCCTCACTGTCTATAACTCTACCTGTGAAATACATTAAAAAAATCATGGGTTCAAGTGTGGGGAATTCTGCCTCCCCCCTATTAAAGTGATGGGGAGCATCTGATTCTAAACAGAGAAATCACAGGATGAGTCCCACAGGGTTGCTGACCATGAAAGATTGGTTATTGGTTTAGGAAAGCTCATCTTAGTTCTTCCACATGAGAATAGCATGACTTTTTTATAGCATGACTTTATATGCAAAATATCTTGATTATTGTGAGTGCACTTGTGTGCACTTTTAAAATTTTGACCCTGTCTCCCCACCAAAAAGTGAAATTCTCTCTTTAGCAAAAAATAGATTCACATGGATACCATTATGCATAGTGAAATATACCAGTTCCTTAAATAGAATATATAAGTGTGTTTTGGTGATGGGTACTATATAATATAGAATAGAAGAAAAAAAAACACAATATATAAAAATGAAACTGACATCTCAGGCTTTGATTTGTGTTTATCACCCTTGTGTAAATTCCTTGGAGCAGTTATCTTTCTACTTTTCATTTGAGGAACATTATGATTAGTGAGGCATTAACTCTGTGATTTAAAGTAAATTGAAATTACGTTGTTGCAAAAATTAAAAGGAAAAAAGGAATGGAAGAAGGGGGGACTGAGAAGGGAAAGGAAGAAAGGATGGTTATCTTCTTAAAATTGTATCAATGAAATACATGAAATCTGTTCTTTTATATCAGTAAATTTTGTTTTAATTTAACAACATTTGGGCTGATCTTGTGGTGCAGCAGGTCAAGCCACTTTCCACAATTCCCAGCACCCCTGTGAGTGCCGATGGAAACCCCAACTGCTCTACTCCTGATTCAGCTTTCTGCTAATGTGCCTGGGAAAGCAGCACTTGAGGTTCCAAGTGCTTGGGCCCCTGCACTCATGTAGGAGAGCAACTGATGCTCCTGCATCCTGGCTTGACCTGGCCTAATCCTGGTACATGCAGCCATTGTGGAGTGAATCAGCAGATGCTAGATCTGTCTCCTCTTTTCTCTGCCTCTCTCTTTCTCATAGTAATTCTGATTTTGAAATAATTTTTTAAAAGTTTAAGAAAACTGAAAATAATATCAGTTGAATTAAATTCAATGAATTAGAAATCCAAGCATAATTTTTCTAAATAAACATTTTACCAAATCTGCTTGTACATCTCTGGCTGCCGCTGGTAGTTCTTAACTTACAAAAATGTGTATGCTGTGTATGTGTAGTTTATTTGTATAACATTTTTTACCTCAGTAGAGTTTATTGTTCCATGGCTTTTATTTCTCTCTTTGCACTTTGACTATTTTTTGTTGAGAATACAGCTACCTTTTGAGATTACAGGGAATATTTATATTATAACCAAATAGATTTTTAGCTGCTGTGGGATACATGATAGTCCATATTTCCTAGCTTTGCAATCCTTCCAAACAAAAGAGTAGTTTTAATCATTTCCTTCTTCCAAGTCTTTGTAATGAGCTTTATTAAGGTATTTTATAGCATTTCATCCTACAGTGAATAACATTATTCTTCTATGATCTGTCATTATTGAGTATGAATTGAAAATTTTACATGGAGCTAAATTGATTCCCAAGAAAAAGACAGTTCTTCAACAAGTGGTGTTGGGAAATTTGGATTTCCACATCTAGAGATATGAAATCAGACTGCTACCTTACACCCTATACAAATATCAATTTAAAATTTATCAAGGATTTAAGCTTTAAACCAAAACCATCAAATTACAAGAGGAAAACATTGGGGAAACACTGCAAGATATTTACCTAGGCAACAATTTCTTGGATAAAATCCAAGAAATAAAGGCAATAAAGGCAACAATATACATTAAGCTAAGTAACTTCTGCTCAGCAAAAGACACACTCATCCAAGTGAAGACACTACTTACAGAATGGGGGAAAATATTTGCAAAACATGGATCCAAGAAAGTATTAATGTCCAGATTGTATAAGGAGTTCAAAAAACTTAACAACGACATAACCAACAATCTAGTTAAGAAGTGAACTAAAGATATGAACAGGCATTTTTCAAAGGATGAAATACAAATGGTCAAGAGAAACATGAAAAGATGCTCAGGACCAGTAACCATCAGGGAAGTGCCAATAAAAACTAAAGTGAGATTTCACTTGCCCCACTTTGAATGAATATTATCCAAAATTTGAAAAATAAATTCTGCTGAGGGTCTGGAAAAAATACCCCAATACATTTTATGGGAATGATTGTAAGCTGGTACAACCATAATGGAAGACAGGAGAGGAATTTTTCAGAAAACCAATACTAGTTCTACCACATGGCCCAGTAGTCTCACACCTGAGAATGTATTCAAAGGAAATGACATCAACACATGAAAGAGTCGCCTGCACTCAGAATTCTATAGCAGCTCAATGTGCAATACCTTAGAAGTGCAACCATCTAGATGTCCATCAACTGATGACTGGGTGAAGGAATTGTGATATATATTTGAATATTACTCAGACATGATTCAGAATGAAATCTTGACATTTAAAACTGGAGGTCATTACAGTAAATTATATAAGCCTGAACTACAAAAATATCATGTTTCTCTTATTTGTCCTAGTTAATATATAGAGTATAAAATTCTGTGGTGTCAGATCATTGGCTATGTAATTTTAATATTGCTTCACTGGATCATATCTTGTTAATGACAATATGCTCCTCTTTCACATGTAAAAAAAGAAATTGAGTGGGGGGGATACGGAGCTCATTTGGGTACTAGAAATACTATGTTGTATATTTGGGTGTTGGTTATCAGTGTGATCAGATGACCAAAACTATTTATCTGTAGACTTAAGTGCATTTCTAAGTATGTATACTGTTTTTAAATATTTTCAACAAGTTCCATAGCAGGAAATGTTTTTTAAGTGTTCGATAGCAGATAAAAATTCCTCCACACACAGACAACAATTAAAGGTGTATCTATGCCTGGTGTGGTGTGAAAGAGCCCACTAATCATCATGCCAATCTCAGCATGAAAACACGGTCATGTGGTACTACAATAGAAATACCCGAGAATGCCATCAGAAGTGCAATGCATATCCTGTTTTGAGAGACATTTACCTGCCATGGAAGAATCCTAGGTTGAGATGCGTCTCCTGGAGAACTCTTTTCTATTTGTTCTGAAAGCATCTTATGGAGGGCATGGGCCACTGCATACACAGCATTGTAGATGAAATAGCTGGAGTCAGATATGGTCAGCATGTCAATGCGTCCTGGGAAAAACTCAAAGGAAGCATTTGGTGGGCAGACTCCAATTGTTCCACAAAGTGACCCAGGAGGTAAGCAGTGAAAAGCATGAAGCCATAGTTGACTGAGGAAGAAATCTTCTGGGTAGTGGGAAGGGTCCACTGTCTTGACAAAGTGGTTGAGGCCAGGGATTTCCCCCTTGTGGTGTGAAAATGAGAAGCCTCCATGAAAAGAGTGCAGCACGTGGTCTGTCTCCTTCACAACTATCTCCCACTTTGTAGCCATGATCCACACCTTCCCCAGGGTTAAATAGTATTTGCTTAGAAATTCCACGGTATAGAGGCCCCTCACATCACCATATAGAATATGCACATTTGCTGATGCAATTCGGATCCCCTCTAGGAAAGAGATTTCAGTTTCTTCATACCTTGACTTAGTGTCAGGGAGCTTTACTGAATAGGCCAAGCAGACACCTTTCTTTACCATCTCAGCTTCAATATCCTGGAGGAACTGCTCTCCTTTCATGTCATTAGATACAAAGATCGCCACCCAAATCCAGCCAAAATGTAGCAGCAAGGAGAGCATTCCATAGGCCAGAGAGCTGTCACTAGTGGCCATCTGATAGAGTGATGGAAACTTGTCTCTCTCACTTAGCATGGGATCAAAAGGACCGTATGTGATCTGAATGGAAAGAAAACCATGATGATCTGAGGTTTGTGGGTAGAGAAGACCACGTTCTATCATCTGAGTTCAGAGAAATCCATGCTTCAATGCTTATTGCTTTCAGGATGAGAATGGATATCCTCATTCACAGCATGCAAAAATGTGTAAGATACCTGTAAATCTTCATATTCATTTGAGGGAAGAAGAGTGCATGGATTTTGGACCAGGACATTGGTCCTTCGCACTTCTCACCCCATGTCGTATGTGGAAAATTTCCCCCTGAAACTGGTGTTATATGTTACCTCTGAGACAATTTTTACTGTGTTGATTTCTTGATAGTTTGAATTTCATTAATTTTGCTTGCATAACCTAAATTGCCTTGAAGAATACACTCACCTATGATCTCAGAGTTTTGTTAAAATTGCTTTTCACAAAGAATTTTTCTATACCGTTCCTGTCTGAGCTTGCTGGTGATGTGTGTAGATTGCTACTTGTTTGAAGTGGGTCTCCTTTAAAAGTCCTGGGAATGTGAATGCAGACCCTTGGTAGAAGATTAATTGGCTTATGTAATTGGGTTCCTGACACCTACTTGGGAGATTGGAATTGAGTCCCAGGCCCCTCGGTTTTCGAAGGACAATCAGCACCAGCACCATAGTCAGTATTTGGTGATTAAACTAGTGAAGGGGTGTACACTGTCTACCTACGTCTTTGTTTCTCCGTCCATGAAACTCACACTAAGATTGAAATGTCTGAGTAGAACATGGAAAGTGAACTGGAGGCCCTGTGAAGGAATCTGCTGAATGTGAGGAAGGAAGGACTGAGCGTAGGGAGAGAGTGAAATATCTAAATCTAGCTCAGCCCCAAACACTCTTTGATGATCTTTGGAACTGCCATTGTCCTAAGTGGGTTCCAAATGGACAGTACTGTCCTAGGTCTTTATATATGCATATCTAACATGCAGTCATCCTAGGATATCTCTTTGCTGTGTGTATTTTCTCTGAAAGTCAACAATCAACATTCCCAGCAGGTGGGGATGGATACATTGGCCCTAGATGTGGATCTGGGCTGAGGCTCTCACCTTCCACTGCTCCTTCCCTTTCTCACAATCCAAGGAATTCCCCAAAGTCTGTTTCAACTAATACTGGATTATGTCACTTGGCTTCCACAGGACCTTGCCTTAGATGTCACAGGTCTGGTGGGAGATGGAAGCATTTCTCACAAGAATTCACAACCCATTTACCTGTGGGGTTTTGTATAGCTCCAACATTGTCCCAATTTCAGCCGAAAATGCTGATGTGGTTCCAGCAATTATGGCAACCGTCTTGCCTTGTGTCTGGCAGGTGTAGTTAGGGATGAGATGGTGCTTTCCAGTCAGCCAGTGCAGAGTGCTCCTCAGGGTGAACTGGCCACTGGTAACAGAATTGTAGAGTTGGAAACCCAGGGTCAGGTTGGGGAGGAGCTGGGGGTCCTTATTGATCTCCTGGATAGCAAAGCGGAAGGCCAGCACGTATTGGTAGTTCTTCCACAGCCACCTAAAGAGAGGAGCAACATCAGGGAGATGGGTGAGACCAAGGAATTCAGAGCAACACCACAGCCATGCCGTGAAGCAGCAATGGTCAGACTCAGACTGTTACTGAGTGGTGTCTCAGCTCTGGCAACTGGAGGAGATGTGAGTGAGGTTCCAAGGGCTCTAGGAAATTGTGGGATTCCCCTTTGGACTCCTCTGAAGCAAATTTTGTAATGATCACATTCACCTACTCAATCCCTTAAAAAAAAGCCTTGATGTGTCCCAACATGGGATTTCACTTCTACTTAGGGGTGGAACCCAAGAGGCAAACATCTCTATTTTCAGTACCTTCTGAAATAGTTGAATACCATCTGGCTTATCAGTCATTTTATCATTTGGGAACATCTCTAATCTATTCACCAAAGCCATTTTCATGAGCCCTTTCTGTAATTTCCCTGTATCATCATTCACAGAAGCAATTTTGTTCAAATATATTTGCCTTGAAAAAGAGCATTTTTTTCAGAATGTGAAATTTCAGAATATTTACAATGTTCACCTTAGTTTTATACACTGTTTTCCACATCACTGAATTCTATTTTATCATTTCATTTTTTTATTCTTTAACATTTTCTGCATGACTTATGCAGAATTATAATTTGTTGGTATTAGTAATGGCTCTCAAATGTTACCTGAACAAGAGTGTAGATGTTTTGTTTTCACACAGTGGATAGCTTTTTGACTCTTCTTTGAAATTTTTCCTTACTTCTATATTTCAAATGTAATTTGAGTGTCAATAAAATACATATTTGTCAATAGATTATGTGGGATTAAATAAATTTATGCGATTATCTGCTGTTTAGGTGCATTGATTCATGTGTTTGAATGTTGAAGTTGTTAGATTGTCATTTCAAGATGATTTACATTCATGCACTATGTCTACATATTTTGCAAATGGCAGTGTTTGATTTTAGGGCAAGTGCATTTTTCTCAAGTTTCACACAATTTTGTATTATTCTTACAGAATTTGAAACTTTGCTTTTTTACCTAAAAATAGTCAAATTTTGTTCCATTCAGTAAATGGTTGATTTCAAAAGCTTTTTATATAGAAACAGTGTTTACTTATAATACACTAAGTAGAACCATCAAAAAATATGCTACTGAAAACTGTTCCATACTTAGTTTAACTTATCTGAATGAAAAATAAGAACATTACATTTTGAAACATTTTGAAGTGTTTCTTACTTTTATCATTTTGCTTAATTGCAATTAATTCCCCTATAAGGTGATTTTTATTCACTCATAGCACTTGCTGTCAGCTGCAAGCTGATGAGTTTACTTCTTCTTTCCCCATATAGAAGGCTGCCGGGTCTTAAGTTAAGTCCCTGCACATTAATTTCAAGACTCTTGGAGGCTGATCAGGAGGTGAGATCAATAGAGTGAATACAAAATGTCTGTTTCTCACTCTCTGCAGTAGTGGAGAGCAAGCAGAAAATGGAAAGGGAAGGTTGCAAAAAGCAAAAGAAGGGAAGGAACTCAGCTTTCATTGATTCATTGATTTGCATTCCTGCCGCTTCTGTATATGATTTTTTTTTTCAAAATTCTTAAGTGCAATCAACCACTCACAGATAGAAGGAAACACTCTCTCACAGTCTGAACCACAGTTGACACATAAATCAATGTTGGACTTACCTGTTTGTCTCCATTTTATCCATTGGCCTGGATAAAAAAGATAACTGGATCATGTTTGATTCTGGTTCTAGGAAGTAAAGGGGGAAAAACCCACCCAGTACCAGGACTCCATCTCTGTAGACACTTGGTCTCATGGAATTATAACAGTTCCTGGGAGGTATGTCCTGTGAACTGTATGAGGAATTCAGGAGTATGTTGAGAAAAATCACAGAAAACAACATGTCAAGTGAACCCAACATAAAGTTAAAGGCTGAAGTCTTTGCTCATATTAAGAGAAAATTGTTTTGATTATGTCTGTTGCCTCAACCCCTGTAGGGAGACCAGATTTTTATGTAGGGCACAACTGATGCTAGTATTTCTGTATGCCCTCAAGCTGTAGACAATATGTGCTAACTACTGAGTCACACAGGGACACAACCAGAATCACAAGGAAGAAATATCAAAAGAGTCTCAGGGCTGAGGCCTTGCCATAATGTCCCTTTGATAAGAAGAGCTCTGGCTTTTATATATTTTATTGCTTCATTTCTGTCCCATCCAGGAACTCATGGCATCACCCTGCCCTGAGGCTATGCACCTGCCACTCTCCATTATGGGGAAAAACAGCTTTGGAAAACATGCTTTGGACTCTCATTGCTCCCTAGGGCATTGCTGGGACAGAGCTCTGTAAACCTGTGTGCACAGGGGCCAAGAGTTGTTAGGCCACTCAACTGTTTTGAGGCATTTGGCAACTGTAGAAAGAATTAACATTGGAATTAAAAAAACACACTCAGTTTCATCATTCCACATGACCATTCATCAAGAAGGTGAAAGGTCACATTTGCCACTGATGACCATATGTGCACCCCAAAAGTCTCTTCATGGCTCTGCCTAATATCTCTCAGCCCATAGTACTTTAACAGAGAAACGGGCTTCATGAATTGCTAATAAGTCAACACACCCAGAGAAGGGCAGTAGGTCATCCCTGAACTTACCATTATACATCATCTTGTGTAAACTAATTGTGTTCATAGTGCATCAAAATACAGTAAAGGTTCATACTTCATCTCTTCTCACCCCCCTCTGTTTCTGGTTCTTCTTACGGAACGACACCTCCTTAAATGCAGTAGGCCATTCTATCATCTCTGCACTGATGAACAAGCTTTGGTCATGTGCACTCTTGCAGAGAAACTCCAGTTTTAGCCAACTACCCAAGACCCAGAGGAAAATCCACACACTCTGGATATCATGGTTTGCCACAAGGTGTCTTGATCATGGAAGGATATATCATCCCAAACACTATTTGTAAATTGGATTTTCCTTGGAAGTGCTGAAGCTGTAGGACAGTCATAACTGGAAAGAGAGAGAGCACTCAATGAGATGTGGGGGATGCAAGTGTACTCAGCAGTCCTTATTTTCCCTCAATCTCCCTATCGTCAAGGTTTCTTTTTGGTAGAAGCTGAGTTTTTGTGTTTGTAGTATGGTAGCCACTGTGACATGAGCTCAAATGATGAAAAACATTTGTCCATGCACCCTTACAACAAATTGGTGATTGATTTAACTCGATCAATAAATGTAGTTGCAAGAGTGGCAATGGTTGGATGCATCTTTATGGAAGCTAATCGTAGTTCTTCAATAACATAAGCAAAACATGGATGGATAGGTTACTGTGATTTTTGTGTAGGTTTTTTAAAAATTGTTTTTAAGTTGAATAAATGAAATTCAAGGTCAATTTTTGATTCAACAAATACAAGTCGATCCACAGATTATCAGAGTTCACAATTTCTGTTTAAAGACACCTTGTGTTATCTGGTAGGTCAAAACTTACAAAAATGTATACAGTTTATAAATGCAATTGTATGTATATTTACTTATATTATTTTACATTTCTACCCTTGGACTATTTAATGAGAGTGTGATTTTCTTTGATATTATGAGAATCTGGGTATGACCAAAAATAAAACTTCCAAATCTTCTGACTATATTTAAATTATTTATAGTTTGATCTAACTCTTGCCTTCTGGGTCATATGATTTCTAATTTAGGATATATGAGGAATATATCTTTGGAATCCCTTGAAAAATTCACTTGTTTTCTAAGGACTGTCTATAAGTAGGGACACAGATATTTTCAAGTCCTATTACTATAAATAAAAATAGAAAAAAATTAGAGGGTGAAATAAATTTCTGAGGTTAATTTTTACATATGGTTATTTGCCTTTTTCCTAGACTTTAATTTTTCCAACTAGCTTAATTAATGAGTTTGTGCTATGTACATGCATATACGAGTCCTAAATATATTGTACATGTTAGTGATGTATTCAGATAATAAAGGGATAAAATCCAGACAAATACATCTATAATGTGTGAAGAAAAGGCTTCCCCAGTAACTAGTGTTATTGTTTTCAAGAGGAGCATCAGTTTCCTCTGCAAATGTGCGCTTATTACATGATGATGTAGAGTCTTGTCAATGTACAGATTGTGGAAAAATGCTTCTTCACAGGGGTACAGTGTGGATCATGGCAACAACATGGAACATTGTTGTGGATGAGGCCATCCCCATGCTGCATTCCATTGTTCTGAGTACAGATAAGATCACATTTCACATGCCCCTTGCTTTAAGGAGAGTTACTCCTTGCTAAGAGCATGGAAGAAAACATGCAAGATTCCCACAGGCTGTATAAGTTTTGCGATTCCAACTGAGAAGGCATGAACTTTGCACATAGCATCATCAGGACAGTGGTCTTTCCCTCATCTTTTCTCCATGTCTCTGGGAGCACAACCCCCCCCTCTTTTTTTTTTGACAGGAAGAGTGGACAGTAAAGGAGAGAGAGAGAGACAGAGAGAAAGGTCTTCCTTTGCCGTTGGTTCACCCTCCAATGGCCACCACAGCCGGTGCATCGTGCTGATCTGAAGCTAGGAGCCAGGTGCTTCTCCTGGTCTCCCATGCAGGTGCAGGGCCCAAGGACTTGGGCCATCCTCCACTGCACTCCCTGGCCACAGCAGAGAGCTGGCCTGGAAGAGGGCCAACCAGGACAGAATCCGGCACCCCGATCAGGACTAGAACCCAGTGTGCCAGTGCCACAGGCAGAGGATTAGCCTATTGAGCCACAGCGCTGGACACAACCCCCTCTCTTAAGAAACCACTGTTATATGTTCACTCTGAAACTAATGTAAATCTTTACTGCTTTGATCTCTCACAATTTTGGGGTTCATATTTTACCATAGGATAACCTGAGTTACCTTGGAAATACAATCAATTTCCAGCCCAGAATCCTCCAAAGCTACTGTGTTCTATGTTTGGCAGTGATATGTGTGAAAGAATCTGGGATGGGTGTACTCATTAGCAAAGCCCTTAGAT